GTAGGTTTGTGGGACACGTTATCGCTTTGTGCGTCATCGTGTGCCTACATGTCAGGATTGGGAGGTGCGGCCGTACAACTCTGTGTACACGTCTGTTTCCTTTATAGCTGGGCTATGTCTTAGCTGGTTCTGGGAGTCTAGCTAGATGTAGGAGAATCTGCCATAGAGATTTCTGAGTCGGTCAGGCTTTACTAGTGTAGCAATCCGCTACAGAGGCATGCAACAAAAGCATCCGCAGCACTCGCATATACCACATCATGCTTCAAGATCCATTCCAAACATGGGTAATTTACCACTGCGACAATAGGTATTTAGGCTGCTAAGGTCTTCGAATTCAATATGTACCACGGCAAATGCCTCCAGACCCTTTTACAACCTTCCAAATGTCTGCTCCACTACTCTTTACCTCGGTAGTTTGATGTAGTTGGATATGAAGTTAATAAGTCATGCAAGAAATCAAAAGTGGAACTATAAATCCAGTAAAATTAGTGGTACAAAATGCATCTGTATATTTTCTATAATTTATGGCCACTCGCGTGTTTCAGGTATGAACGAATATCGATTTCCCTGTCTTCCTATTTTAGTTTGACCAATGTGATGAATTATTTCCTGAAACGAAGAGAACTATCTGTTTTGTTAAGTATAACTGCCTATTATAATCGTAAGTTATTTCACACATTTTCCAAACCCCACATTCAATTCTATCCCTCAATTGCATTTAGGATAATTTATTCAATGAAATAATTATAAACCTATAATTATAAAAAAGGTATCATGAAACACTTGAAGGTTTTATAGACTGTACTGCTGTAAAATAACAGATCCTTTATTTAAATCACTTATCACATAAAATCGGAGAGTGGTACTCAAGTGGTCTTGAGTGAACACAAATTCTAATTGCTCCCGTGCTCGAATTGTCTTACTCCAAATCAGGTTAATATTTTCATTGCAGCACGTCTTCGGGATCTTATAGGCATCTAATGCCTAGGTGAGCGAAAAGCCCTTCTCTTTCTTTACACATTTTAGAATCTGAAAGCAGTTGGATTAAGGAAAACCAACACGATGCGTGTCCACTGGTGAGAATGAGCAACGAGAATACTGGACGACTGGTACTGGGAGTGAGAGAGGTCTTTGCCAATCCCCACGATGAGTTATTCTGGGCTGCTCTTGGTTCAACAGAGGCAACTGACTGACTGATTGACATTGCGGCCTTATCTTGAAGTAAAAATGGTTCCGAAGAAATTTAATGTTTCAATTAATTTCAATTGTAAATGCGACATTACATGCGTTTGGAGGAAAGGCTAACCACGTAAGAAAGCGCATTACGGGTTGAGGCAATGGAGCTGATGCTTTTGGACGTTTGAAAACTTCTTTGATGCCTGGAAGTTCTTCAAATGTTAACAGTTTAAAAGGGAATTTGCGTTAGCTGTCTGCCTGTCTCAGCTATGATTCGAGAGCCCCATACGAGAACGTCCGTCTCTCCATCGAGCAGTGATGCCAATATTGGAAATGATTGAGAGGCATTATTATTTGGGTTGTATGGGGGAGGAGTGATTGACGCACTTCCGCCAAATTTGTCCAGATTTGGCAAATCTGAATGTGTCAAACACAAAGGTCGTAAGAGGGCCAGTCAAATGTGGCCTTGAGTGAAGACAAATTCTCATTGCTCCCGGGCTCGAACCGGCCTGCCACATCTCAAGTTAAGCTATTCATTGGAGCACATTTTCAGGATTTCTTAGGTGTCTAATGCCTAGGTGAGCGATAAGCCATTTTCTCCCTTTACATATTTTAGATTCCGAAAGCAGTTGGACTTAGGAAAATCAATTCAACGCGAGTCCACTCGTAAGAACGGTTGACGAGTAAACTATTCGACTACTTCTGAGAGGGAGAGAGATCTTTCCTAAGTCCCCACAAGGTACAGAATCACCAAGCTGAATGATTCGTGTGTATTTGGAAGTATTACAGATCAACAATGACAACAGCATTGAACACGGTGTAAGTCCAGGCAAGGCGTACTAGTTTGTTGTGCCTATGTTTGCAAAATGATTGTTTTTGGTTCTACCACTTGTGGGTGGAATGGAATTAAATCCACGCAGTCGAATAGGATTGTGTTTGGTAGAATTCCAAGCTTAATTCTGGCAAGCTTCAACCTTTGATGCACATCTTTCATCAAGCTCGACTGCTTAGCTTAGTCGATTGAGAATGACAAGCACCTTGACTTGTCTTAGTCATGTTTTCATTCAACTTCTCCGAGTCTACAAGAACTGTGTTAACCTTCCTTGGCAAGAAATATTTTAATCATGTCACATATGGACTAGACACCTTGATTCTTGCTGTGCATGAAACACCATGGATCGTTTTGTATTGTGCGTTGTGATACTAACAAAAGACCGTTCTTTAGCACCAACCAACATTTAGTGCAACATTTGTAACACTTCCATATCATGTCTTAAAGCAATGCAAATCGGTGCTCATTAAACCTGTTTCAAGCGAAAAGTTTGAAGTTGCCTCCATTCCTAATATTTGTGGCTAATAGTATAAACAGAGAGTGCACAAACAGAGACAAGACAGAGGCACTTTAAGCAGAGAACAAAGGAAAAAAATTTAGATTAACAGTTGGGTTCAGGTTAATAATGCTCTAAGAAAGATTCAGTAATCTTACTCCAAACAGAGTGGTTTGATCTGAAGTGCTCTACTTCCGAGAGAGAGATGCGTCGCGTATCTGGGTGCTATTGCAAGTAATGCTCGGATAAGTGGAGCTAGATTCGATGCTCTGTTTTGAACACTAATGAGACCAATTTCAAGACTAAAAAAGAAATTTCTTTCATTAATCCAGCACATTTCATATAGTAAAACTTACATATTGAAAACATATTTCCATTCCTGTACCATAAATGAAACCAACTGAGAACTTCATTTCACTACCTCATTACTCATTCTCACAGCACTTTAACACATGCTTGTGAGGGAGATGGGCCTATAGTTGTCAAAGTTACTAGGGACTTTGCTCTATTTTAGCATTGGTATTACTATGACAACTGTCCATTGGGTAGGTATAAGACTGGTCTTCCAGATTTTTTGTAAGTGTCGGCATGATTTCCCTGGCTTTAGTCCTCATTCTAATTAGAAATTCCGGATGAATACCGTCTTCGCCAGGAGAACTTTTGCACTTTAACTGTTTTATCGTAGCATTAAGTTCGTGAGGGCTGAATGGTTCAGCAAGTACTATGTGTGGTAATGCTGTGTTCCTTAATTTCACCAACCTGTCTTTCTTGTATCTTTACATCTCTTGAAGAGTTTCTGACAAAGGGGTTTCTCTTTTGCTTGTGGGAATAAAACCTCGCAAAGTAGTTAGCTATTTCAGAGTCGGTGGTAAGAAGTTTGTTGTTTAATCTTATTGGTTCTTTCTTGGGTCTTTTCTTGTTGTTTTGGAGGTTACCCAGGAATTTGAAAGTGCGTTGGCTATCACTTTGATAGTTGATATTTGAGATGAAGAAGTTGTCGAGGGTAGTCCGTTTAGCTTGTAAGATGGTTTGCTTTAGGACAGCTGACTGCCGTTTCCAGACTTGTACGTCTTCCGTTCTCCCAGTCTATTCGACAGTGTTGTGATCGGCGTCCCGATTTCTTTTCCTTTTCTCAAGGTGTTCACACCAGAATACTCGATAGTGTTTAGCCTTGTCACGGGGATTAGTTTTCTTTCTACATCTGATCATAATATTCGTGATATTTTTGCACAGTTTGTCAGGATGTTGGTTGAAGTTGATGGGATTTGAGTGAAATTAGTTCTCTAAGAGGTTAGTGAATCTAGGCCAGTCAGCCTTCTTGAAGTTCCATGAAAGCTTGGTTAGCATTTTCGGTGTCATGCTTTTGCTGCCAATGGTAATACTAGTAACGACTGGTTTGTGACCAGAAGCGGAATCGTGAATTATTTTGTGGTGTGTCTGTTCGCTGATGTCGCTGGAAGCCAGGAGCAAGTGAGAAGTTGTTCTGGTTCCATTGTAATGCAGATATAAAGCAGGATCCTCATCGCTGTAAATAAGCTCTTGTGAGCTACTGTTGACCATGTCTCCGATTTCCTTTCCAGCTATGTTTATGTTC